CGGCCTCTGGCGCGCGGGTCTTTCTCCTAATCACCTTTTCTTGTAAAAGTTTCTTAAAGCGCTCTCGACTGTGTGACCCCGTCGGGGTGTGGGGTTCGCTGACTTTCCACCCCCACTTAAGCCCCTGGGCGACTAAGACGTAAATTGGTTCGTTGGACAAGCGTTTGGTGTGCAGGCGCCGCGCGCTCGGCACCGAGCGGGCGCGGGGGCCCCGGGGGACCCGATGACCGAGACTGGTGGTCGGCGCGAGAAGCGAGAAGCAGCGCGTGGGGGCCCGAGCTCAGAACGAAGGGCCCGTCGCTGTCTCTAGTCTCCACCTTAACGCACGTCATTAGATGTTGATTGAATCCGCGCCCAGGCGCTCGGCTTCGTTCACTGTGCTTGGAGCGGGGCCGGCGCTCCTGTTGGTCGCACGAATGGTTTGGGAAGGGGGGCGCCTCGGTGGGATCGCCGCCTACTCTGTGGTCTGGGACCCGCGCCGGGTTGGCGGTACCCTGGAGCACACCAGACTTGCAGAAAGAGCATACTCCAGAGGAAGCTGAGGCATGACTGCTCGAGGGCCAGCCTTCCGTGTGCAATTTTCCTCTGATAGTTTCCCCGTGCTGTTGCCACGGTGATGATGACTGCCCCGTGTCATTTTCTATCCACCAACAGTAAGAGCAGCTTTGCAGTCGAGATATTGTTTAACAGATGGAGCGGTTTCTGTTGGACACTTAAGTACTGCTACACGTTATTATTATTATTTTTTTAAGTATTTTTGAAATGGTTTCTGGGGATGTTTTGTGCTTTGGAGGTGCCCAAATTTAAAATCAGAAAATTAGTACACGCCCTGTCAGCAAGCGAATCTTCCAGGTAATCCTTCCGTGTAAAACTTGAGCCGAACAAACTGAAAATAAACTCAAGATGTTACTCAGAAGTGCTCCTCAGAAACGTGTTTCATCCGGTTGATGGTACTGATGTTTGGGAGTTTTCTAACGTGGCACCCAAAATTGACAAGCTTCTGAAAGAATCTCTTTCCTCCCCAGATTCGTTGATTCCAGGTAAATCAGAGGAACAAGCCTCAGAAATAGACAGGAAGCGCTGTGATGCAGAAGCAGACCTGTTCCAGAAGTCCAGCCTGCGGTGCACTTAGCAGAGAATATATTATTTCCAAAATCACCCTTTACTCATGCTTATGTTATAGTAAGTTGTGTTTTTAAAATAAATATTGGTGATTTGTTCTTGAAAATGTAAGTTGCTTATTGCCTACTCCAAACTGTCTAATGGGGCCTCTGTGTTGAGTGGAAGAGGGAGAATTTGCACACTGGGGTTCTGAGGATGGGAGACGGGGACAGTAATGCTACCTCTTACCAAGAGTAATGTTGGCTTCGGAAATGTACTTGCTTTTCCAGTCGTGAGGTGTTTTGTTAAGTTGAGAACACAGCTGTCACTAAAGATTAGGAGTAATCCTTGAGCAGGAAGATACAAAGCCTGTGTTTCTCAAACGTATTAAGTGGAACTGCTGTGCACAGAGTCAGATAAGAACCCAAGTGAAATGTATGCTGTGGGAAAGCATGTCCATGCTCTTCAGGGAGCTAAACGGGTGGCTTTGGTAGCGTGATCAAGGGAAGAAAACAAATCACAGATCTAAACCGAAGAAATTGAGACAATACACCTAAGTTTAAGTTTTTAATAAAGGAATCAAAATGATAAAATGTTGTATATGTTGAACATAGTAATTTCTGTCTTTGAGTTAAAACCACGCTTGGAGTATGGGCTCCAAATGTCGGTGATTTAAAGAAGCAGAGAAAATAGTATTCAAAATAAAGATTTCTTCCCATGCAGCCAACCCTTATATATGATTTGGCATTTTAGTTTTGAGGTTTCTCTTTAGTAATTCTATAACGAAAGCATGACACAAGCATACTCTTTAAATAAACACTTGTCGGAAATCTGCATTTATACTCAAATAAGTTTGGGTGTTTTGAACCCAAGTCAATAATCTTGATCAATTTCTGATCTTTCCCCTGTGGACATTAATGGAGAAGTAAGGGAGGGAAGTACACAGAAACCTGCGAGAATCCTGGCATTTTGGTCACAAGAGATAATTAGACCCCTATAAACATGCTGACTCAGGCATTCTGACAATGTTTCTTTCCTGCACTTATTTATAGATAAGGCTTTACTATATTTGGAAAATTTTTCCTTTCCATCCACTGCTCCAAAAGTAAACTCATGTGGAAACATAGTTAAAAACCTTCCAAATTTGCCTGGCTGGGCATGGCTCAGCAGTTGAGCATCAACCTAGGATCCAGGAGATTGCAGTTCATTTCTTAGTCAGGGCACATGCCCAGGTTGCAGGCTCAATCCCCAGTCGGGGGCTTGCAGGAGGCAGCCGGTCAATGATTCTCTCATTGTTGATGTTTCTCTCTCTCCCTCCTCCCTTCCTCTCTCTGAAATCAATAAAGATTTATTTAAAAAACAATAAAAACAAAAAACCTTCCAAATTTGAGATCGGGCCTTCCGATGCATTAGCCCTAAATGAAGAGTCGATTGTGGAGCCAATATGATGCTTTCTTTGAACTCAGCTTTTGTGTTTCTGTGCCTTGACTTCCATGTTGGAGTCAGTGGTGCGTTCTGACAGAGGGCGTGTTTCTGTGCACAGGGCTTGCGATACAGAAGTGGCAAGGTCCAGGCTGGTCAGAGCATTCTGTGAGTGTCATTTTAAGAGAAGAGTGGCTGCCTGGGTTGCACAAGGGGTTGAGCCAGCAAACATTCCTGAGTTAAAATAAAATAGCATTTGCGACCCAGAGTTCCGGCTGGAAGCTGAAACCTCTCTGGTGCATTTAGCTATTATCCGGTAATTTTAGAGTGTCACTGAGACCCTAGAATGAACTTGATTCCCCAACTGCCCTAAAAATAATGTAATGTGTGAGAAGCCAAGGCAGTGCCCTGCCCCCCCAGGAGAATCTTTGCTAATCCCTAATGCAAAGATAGAAATGCCTTCTGGATTTTACCACCTCTATCTGACAGAGACAGCTGTTTTTATAAGCACTCCTCTGGCTAGGGGAGTGGCCGCAGTTTTGCTAGTTGAGGTTTCCAGTGGGCTCAGCCTGGAGACAGGAAGGAAGGCCTTGCTAGGGCTGCTCTTGCTGGATCCTAGGTCCTGCTTGCCTCTCTGTAAAGTGAAGAGAAATGGTGTGGTGCGCTATAAAGTGGGTTAGCTCAGTCTAGACCCAGCTATGGGAGAGGCTGTGAGAACGGAGTCTCCAGAGAAGCATTTATGAAAGGCCCGGAGGCCACAGCAGAACCCGAGCCTATTCTGGGAGGTGAATTGTAGATGGGTGGTGTGAGCCCTGGGTTCTCGTCCCGAGCATCCCTAAATACTTGGGAGTTCTTGATTCTCCGGGGAGTTTTCCACCCCTCCTGCCTTCCTGGGTTTGTGAAAAATGTGTGATGTCTGCAAACAGTTAATTGTTATTTCAGGAAGTCTCTATACAGGGGCTGCAGAGCCTAAGGGACTGATTTGTACTCTCCTCTGCTCCTGAACATCTGCCCCCAAACAATAGCGTCTTGTGTTTGGTTTTGTGTACACGCGTTCATTTGGACCTTACCGCTAAGTCTAAGGTAATGCTTCTCAGATATTTCGGTCCCCGAATTAGGTTCTCTGTCCAGTGTTTGTGTATAAGGTCTTTTTGACAGACTTGAGCGCATTGAGTCCCTCCAGGAGTTTTGTTGCCTTCACAAGCACTCTTTGAAATTGTACTGCTGAGTCATAACATCGCCAGCAAGTCCCACAGAAAGTTCAATATTCCTGAATCTTTTTTTTGGCTCTGCATGTGAGTATATTAGGTACAGATGTGATGTTTATGCTTTGTGGAACTAAAATGACACTTTAAATCTAAAACCCAATGAGAAAAATGGAAACCATAGATTCCATTTCTGGAAGTTTTATTTTCCTTCGTCCCCATGTGTCCTTTTTTGCGTTGAGGCCCAACTCCAGACTTCTGCTGGACTCTGTTCTGTTTGAGAACCTTATTTTATTCTGAGGAAAATAGCCCAGGTCACATTTCATACAAGGTTAGATATTAAGGATTAAGTGGTAATCATAAAACATGCTCAGACTTGGTTATAGGTGATAGGAGAATAGTTGGCTTTCCCCAAACTGTCTGTTTAATGAAAGGTTTTAATGTTTTGCATTATGTGTTTCTTTTTCCTACCAGCAATAGTTTCTGTAACTCATACTTATTATAGTTCAACAACTGTTGAGAAAGTGCCTAGACCACAGAGTATAAAAAGCCAGGAGCCAGTGCTGTTGTGGGTCAGACCTGTGAGGGAGATTTATCTGTTAGCAGAAGTTTATGGCTCCCTCTGATAATCACTGGCTTTGCAGCCAGATGAACAGTTAGGCAGTTTTATTATTTTCTGTGAATGAGTGCTAAGATGTATTGCCAAGGCCCTAAATACTCTTTATGATGAGTCAGAATTCCACTGGGTGCCTCCACCATTGAGCCTTAGTAATTTACTGCCTTCAGAATTAACCTTGCTAGCGTCGGGACCCATTGCTCCACATTGTTCAACGATCCACCTGGGAAAGGAAGTGAAATCCACCGATTTCATGGAGGCGAGGGAGGCTGGAACTGGGATGAGACATAAGTGTTCACTGGAGGATTTTTAATAGTTTTCTGCTTTTATGGCCTGAAAAACTCCATTTGTTAATTCTAACTTGAAACTTTTTGAAAGTGTAGCCCACTGAGATATTTTAGTTAACTGTTACCAAATTTCAATGAGCCAGAGTTTCAAAGCTTTAGTAAAAGACTGTTATAAACTATCCTCTGATTAAAAAGCAAAAGTAAGGGGGGTCATTTGCATAACCTCACTTGCTAAATTAGGTGACCAAGAGGATTCGGTATTGAGAGCCTCGAAGAGAAGGTGGCGCCTTGGCAGGCCCCCCTGCGGATAGTGCAGTGGCAGTCCTCGAGGAGGGGCCGATGCCACCGATGCCACGCCGGCCGCCCGAGTGCGTCAGCCCAGTCGGCCCCACCTTCCCATTGGTTCGTCTGCATCCCGCGGCTGCAGCTCTGACGGTTCACACGTCCCGCTGGCTGGCCCTGGCCAGTAACATCCTCTTACTTGAAGGGATTTTTGCTTTTGTTAAAAATCAACACGTCATATTTCAAAATCATTCTGTCCTGAGGATCTTGGAGCATTTCCTCATGAGCCTCTGCCTTACTCTGCAAGGCAGGTAGGGGGCACTAGTCTCTTTTACTTAAGAAGCAGGGTCAGGGACAGCCAGCACATGCTGTCCCCGTCATGGCAGTGTCTGGGAGCAAGACTCTCAGTTCTCATCCAAGTCCTGTTCTTACTTTAGGGAATGGCCAAGGCTTAGTTTTCTAATGTTACAGTCATTAGTGTTAAACAGTTTAACACTAAAAGCAGGAGGAAGCAATGGCTAACAGATTAAGGGGAGATTTTAAAAATTAAGACATTCTGGGGATTTTTGTTTGTTTGTTTGGAAAGCAGCATTCTGGGAGCATTTGTAATAAGCAGGGGCCACCAGCCCTCACAAGACACTATTCTGTGAGCTTAGAGCCTTGTATCATAATATCAAGTCACCAGGAAAGGAAATTACATTCCACGTGCCCTGGCTAAGAAGTAAGGGAAATGTCGTATATATCACATTGCCAACAAAAATTACACACATGCATGGCTCAAAGAGGTTATGTCACAAAAAGTAATCCTGAGGGACACACTCTTCCTCATTATGCCTGATAAGCAGTTTTTTCCTGCTTGTTATGGACTTCATATCAGTCCATGGTGAGGGACTGGACAACATTGGCATGAAGTTCATTTTTTTCTAAGCTGCATGAGCTAAATGTTGGGCTTGAGAGAGCATGGCTGACGTCAGGCAAGAGATGGCCGCCCAGAAAGCTGCCCTCTGAGTGCTGACGTCCTGCTCACCCGGGACGGGCAGTCAGAGGCACTGAAGAATAGAGCCAGCCTGTTTCACGGCTCTTGGGGACCAAACCTTTCAGGGGCCTGTATGTATCATAGTTTCATTTTTTATGTTCCCCCTCCCCCACTGCTAGACCGGCAGCCAGTAGCCCAACTGAATTCTTTTTTGCCGCTGGTCCTTAGCGCTATACCCAGCACTTTGTATGTACTCAATGCATAATTCCTTTTTTAATCCACACCTGAGGGTATGTTTACTGAGTTGAGAGAGAGAGAGAGAAACATCGATCGGTTGCCT